TATAATTTTTTATATCTTTTGCTATTTATAACTTAATTTTACTATTATTCTACTGTTTTCTTTTCTTTCTTTTTTTTCTTCTTATTATATTGATTGTTAATACTCTAACGTATTGTAATTGTTGAGCTAGATTTATAATAAAAAGCTAATAAAAAAAAAAAAAACTATACCAGTATTACTTATGTAATGTATATAATATACACATTTTAATAACTCAAAAATTATTCATTTTCATTTTCATTTAGAATTTAGATACCTCAACATTTTCATACAAAGGTGTTTTGGTCTTCATTTGAAAAAGATAAGAGTARGTATGTTGCATCAGGCATCAGGCACTTCATAAATAGTTTAAAAATATAAGTATTCGAAAATATCCTAAGTTGTAGGTATACCTACCAAAATTCAAAATTTGAATTGATAAATTATTTATCGAATAAATGTATGGACACGCAAAATATACAAGCTTGATGGATTTCGTCGTATTTCTATTATAAATATTAATTTAAAATTAACCATGTACTTACTTTTCGATCTATAAATAGGCCTGACCACGCGCACTTCAACCATGAATATGACCGCGGCAACAATGATCGCTGCGAGAGCAGCTTTTGGTATGTAGTAAAGATAGGACGTACAAAAAAGCAAGGCGACGATAACCAAAATACCTGAAAAAAAAATTAAGAGTTTTCGATTTAAATAAAAATTAACATTAACAAACGACAGTGCCTTACGACGTGTAGCGTGAGATCGAATTTTGTGAGCACTATTATTGTCTATTTTACTACAATATTTCATTTTATTTTTCACGTATATTTACGAAAATCAACCATTTATAATTGAGCTATTGAGCATTAGAATTATTACGAGYATTATTAATTATTGTTATTATTAATGAATGATATCATTCTCATTATTCTCACCAGCGTATAAGCCCTCCATCGGAGTTCGAACTCCACTAGCTGCGGTCACGGCACTCCTGGAAAAAGACCCAGAGCCGGGATACGCGTGGAAAAACGAATTGCCGATRTTGCACAGACCGGTGGCCAGTAACTCTTGTGTGGCGTCGACAGGTTTACCGTCGGCTGGAGAACAACGTAAAATATCTATTAGTTAGTATCACAAACAWTAATAAACTTAAACGAATTAACGAAACTTAAAACTACGAAATTCATAGCCATATCAAGTCGGTCGTAGGTTTGCTAGGTTCTTCAGTCTACATCAACCGACCGTTATGTTTGCAAGAACTTCAGTAAGTATAAACCCAAACACGGCTTAAAAATTTAAATATTATAATTTATTTTGACCTGATTAAGTATAAATAAGTAGTCCTATCTTTATTACAAATCTTACATATAAAACTAATAACTAATAAAGTAATAAGTAATACAACTTATACAAGCCATAATATAATATTGGAATTATTTTTTTGAATTTTTACTTGATTTTTGCTGTTTCAAGCGCTTAAAATGCAACAAGCAATGTTCTGATATYCATGTGAAATATTTTCATATTGATGACAATGTATACGTATCAACACTTTAAAAGCACTTTGCTGCAATAGCCAGAAAGCTATTTTAATACAACAGGTGTTATGTATTGGGCAGCAGAGGAGTAGTAGTGTTCATACAGATCCTCCTCTGCTGTCGGTTTAAACGAAAAAAAAACGTGGAATATATTAAGGTAATTAAATTTTTGTTGATACTTGATAGTAATAAATTGCGCCCTTACAACTTAAGCATTAAAATTCTTTATTTTTTTTTCGATAGTATAATTTACTCATATATAAGTATATAGTTACTCTGAGTGCCAAGTCGATATTATTCCTATTATGTTTCGTTAATCCAATAGACAAAAATGTTATAAGTACTGAAATATTGATTGTTGAGTAGGTATGGTTAGATAAGCGTAAAACTACTAAAGTATACATATGTTGTGTAATACATTTAGGTATAATTAAAAATTTTAATTGACTATTGGTATGTATGGTACTTATAACCTAATAAACAGTAATGTTTTAAATTAACTACCAAAAACACTTATTTTTTTTTAAATATAGGGCCATGAGGTTCTTTTATTTTTACACATCACGCCCATAATTAACAAATGCCCACGCCCCACAGCCTCTTAACCATTCTCTTACAAGACTCTGTCTAAAATTTACCTAAAACTTCTATATTATATAATGTTTTATATTATTTAACTGACCGAACGTTTTGCATATAGAAATTGTTTCAATCAGCCCAATTATCGGTAACACTATAACTCCAGAACCTATGTTCGAGACCATTTCAAAGAATCCTACTGTAGTTCCGTTATCTCGCGTGATGCTAAACTTCGGAAGATCGAATTCTGGCAAGCCCGATGGTATTTTACCTGCAACACATAATCACATTTTAATCAGCTGATACGGATACCCACTACCTACCCACACTACCCTTCACGRTAGTGTGTATGATATTCAGTGTTCGTTTCCACTTACCAACCAATTTGAACGGTATCGGTGGTATTTCGTCAGAGGTCACGTCGTGCCCCGTTGAGGTTATGTACATGTAACCCACGTAACTGCTAACGATAACCACAATCGAATTTCTGAATGTGCCGATCATCCACATGGATCGGTTCATTACTTTGTGGAACGTGGTCTGTTCTTTCACGTCTTTGGGTCCGATTTGACACAGAGCCATTCTCTTAAATGTTTCAAAAACAGGTGAACATAAAAACATGGCAACCGATGTAGGTAAGCGATACCTAATACGTTGTACATAATGAACGTATCCGTAGGTATTTAAATCCCGCGACCCGCGTTTTATGATTTAGGTACTTACCCTCAACAGAAGAATAATAACAATGCAAATTATCCCTAGCCATGTGTCACCCATTTGGAAATTTTTTATGTCTTTGGATATCGATATTATCATGTCCAATAGCGTTGTGCCCGCGGCTTTGATGCCAATCAAGTCTTTGAATTGTGACGCTATGATGAGTATGGCGACGGCCGACGTAAACCCCGAGTTCACTGGTCCGGAAATAAAATCGATCAAAAAGCCTACGGCGACAATATCAGAGAAAGTATAATTTGTAATAAATGATTAAACGCATAATTATTATGATTTATAAGCGGCTTATGCGCATTCGGTGACGTTTACCTAATCCCACTACGCTCATTATCAATTGGATGACACCTGTTAAGAAACACAGCAGCGTGCCGTACACGGGTCCGAGTCCGTGGAGCGTGTTGTACGTCATTAGCGACACGATGGCCGTCGGCCCCATAGGCACTTCTTTACAGGAACCGAGGAAGACGTATATCAAACAGCCGACGAACGAACCATAAAGACCTTGCTGGAAACGAAATCAAACGCACCGGTAAGCATATTACAAAACTACAGCAATCGGATGAATTAATGAAAAAGAAAAATCATATTGTTATAATATTATGTATAATGTATATCAATTATATTTACTTGTGGCGGCAGACCGGCTAGAGCGGAATAGGCCATCGATTGTGGGATAAGCGTCAGACCGACTGTGATGCCCGCCAGAAGATCTCCGATACCGTCGTCTGCGGAATAAGTCGGCCACCATTGCAAAATCGGTAGTCTTTTGGTGATTGTTTTGTACGTAAACATTGTCTTTGAATTACTGTTCAGACACGACGAGAATTCGTGAAATTTTTCTTTGACATTTTTCTTAGGTCTTTCTCCGACTTCGTCTACAACTGTGTGATACAAATTTAACATCGACTTTTCCCCTCTCAACGGGAATATTTCACGATGCGTCTCAATATTAATTTCTAACTGTTTTCAATTAAAAACTGTTAATAATTAATATTATAACGATTCAATTCAAAAGTCACTTCTTTAGCAGCCTTATTCTATTGCGAATCTCGAGTAATCAGAAATKATCAATAGTTAAAGTTTATAAGACGTAATAGATCATAGACGTATATAATATACTATATTATTATACGGTATAGGTATTGTAATTTATCATCAATTGTTTAATTGATTTTTATTAATTTTATCATGATCCGTATTGACTTACGTATGAAGTCGTTACTGCCTATCGTATATTGAGATCTTAAATTATTATCGTTCACCTCCATATTTTCACATCGGTTTTCGTGACGATCATTATCATCGTTTGTAATAGTCATTTAGAATAATCTGGAAATTAAATCATTACATTTACTTAATATGGCATAGTTATTATTAGTGATGTAAAATTGTATAATAAAAATGTATAAAATCGTATTATACATGGTATTATACACGCTGTATAGAATTATTTTATACAATGGTATAAAACTTTTTTTTCGCTAAGT